TTTAGTAGAGACGGGGTTTCACCATGTTGACCAGGATGGTCTCGATCTCTTGACCTCGTGATCCACCCGCCTCGGCCTCCCAAAGTGCTGGGATTACAGGCGTGAGCCACCGCGCCCGGCTATCATAAGGATTCCTAAGAAAGTTAGAGGCCAGACATGGTGGCTCACGCCTGTAATCCCAGCACTTTGGGAGTCCAAGGCAGGTAGATCATCGGAGGTTGGGAGTTCGAGACCAGCATGAACAACATGGAAAAACTCCGTCTCTTAAAAAAAAAAATTAAATTTAAAAAAAGAAAAAAATAGATTTAAAAAAAAAACTAAGAAAGTTAGATTCAATTTTATTTATTTTATTTTTTTTATTTTTTGAGATGGAGTCTCACTCTGTCACCCAGGCTGGAGTGTAATGATGCAATCTCAGCTGACTGCAACCTCCACCTTTGAGGTTCAGGCAATTCTCCTGTCTCAGCCTCCTGAGTAGCTGGGTTTACAGGCGCGCACCACCAACCCCAGCTTTATTTTTGTATTTTTAGTAGATACAGGGTTTCACCTTGTTGGTTGGCCTGGTCTCAAACTCCTGATCTCATGATTAGTCCGCCTCTGCCTCCCAAAGTGCTGGCTGAGCTACCGTGCCAGGCCTGAGATTTGTATTTCAAATGCAGGGATGGAGCAGTGTTAAGTGTAAGAGTCTGGAGATAGCAGAGTTACTTTATATAAATGAATATGAAGAATTTGAGTTCAGAATGGGGGAGAAATCAGAGGAAGGAGTAAGGAGGAGAAATAAGAAAGAAGAAAGGAAAAAATAGAAGCAATTTCGAATTTCCAGTAGTAGAATATCAAGATATCTTTAAAGAACAGGCATATTTAATTTGAAATCACTTATGTTACTGAAATCTAAACCACTAGTAAAGTGAAATCTAACAACTCTTTGGAGAACAATTTAGCAAAATCTATCAAAATAAAAATGTATAAGGCTGGGCGTGGTGGCTCAAGCCTGTAATCCCAGCACTTTGGGAGGCCAAGGCAAGTGGATCACGAGGTCAGGAGTTTTAGACCAACCTGGCCAACATGGTGAAACCCCATCTCTACTGAAAATAGATAAAATTAGCCGGGTGTCATGGCAGGCGCCTGTAATCCCAGCTACTTGGGAGGCTGAGGCAGGAGAATCACTTGAACTCGGGAAGCAGAGGTTGCAGTGAGCTGAGACTGCTCCACCACACTCCAGCCTGGGAAACAGAGCGAGGCTCTGTCTCAAAAATAAATAAATAAATAAATAAATAAATAAAAAGAAAAAGAAAAATGTATATTATCTTTTGACCCTTCAATTCCATTTCCAGAAATTTATCCTACCTTGGTACTTGCAAAGACTTATGACCTCTTTGCTTGTAATACCAAAAGGGGCCGGGCGCGGTGGCTCAAGCCTATAATCCCAGCACTTTGGGAGGCCAAGGCGGGTGGATCACGAGGTCAAGAGATCGAGACCATCCTGGTCAACATGGGGAAACCCCGCCTCTACCAAAAATACAAAAAATTAGCTGGGCATGGTGGTGCGTGCCTGTAATCCCAGCTACTCAGGAGGCTGAGGCAGGAGAATTGCCTGAACCCAGGAGGCGGAGGTT